TACTTCTGGTTCTTCCCCCGCCCCCCGCACCCTGCCATTTAGTAGTCCACTGAGAGCCTGTATCCCTATGTATCTCTTTCCTTACTGATGGACACCTAGGTTGTTTTCTCTTTTTCCCTATTACAAATGATGTTACAGTGACTATCCCTGATCTGCTTCTTATGAAATGTTAGCTTCTTTAGAAAGACAAGAAGGACCTTCAAAAAAGGAAGGAAGGGGCCAATCGCCAGTTAGCTTTGGAGAAGGGATACTAATGTCTAGAGCACCCGCCATGTGCGAGGCACTATGCCAGGCAGCTTAAGTACGTGACCCCAGCCTGGACCTGGGAGGTGCCTGGGTGCCTAAGTTGTTGGGCATCCTGGAAAGTTCTGGGAATATTGACCCCAAATGTGTCAAGGTGTTCACCCCACCTTTTCCAGTTCACATTGTTCATCTCGTGTTTTGCATTTTTTTTTTTTTTTCAGAACTTTAAAGGCAAAGACTCTGGAGTCAGACCACTGGCCTCTGTTCTCTTGGTCCCTCACTCATGGACTGTTGACATCAGGCAAACTATTCAAACTCTCTGAGCCTCGGTTCCCTTATCTGCAAAATGGAAATGGCACCTCCCCTGTGAAGTTATCGGGAGAATGTAGTGAGATCACCTACATGAAATTCGTAGCTCAGTGTCTGACAGGTGAGTAAATCTTAGATACACTTGGTGACAAATAATGATACTGATGTAAGCAGTGTCTCTCTTATTGTGGGTCTGTCTTTGCCTCATGTTGCTTTATGAAAACCAAAAGCAGGGGAGCCTGGAGGGCTCCGTCAGGAGAGCTTGCGACTCTTGATCTCAGGGTTGTGAGTTTGAGCCGCATGATGGGTGTAAGTGATTACTTAAAATTTTTTTTAATTAAAAAAAAAAGCAGATCATCAGTACTATTTTCCTACTAGAGTATCATAATCAAGAGGAGGGATATTTTGTAAACAGGTCAAAAAAACCCAGTTTTTCAACCTGATGACATCAGTAGGTCAATTTACTTTTTCTTCTTTTCGATTGTATAGGGAACATCATGCCCTGTTCCCAATACCTGTTGATGGTTGTAAATCCTTCTGTGGGTGTGGCCGGAACACTGAGTATATCAATATTTGTTAAGAGCATAGAAGTGCTTGCCTGTCATTTGCCAGGGCCATGGGATTGTGGACTATAGGTCAAGGTTGATGTTTGTAATGCCACAGGCAAACCCCTTCTCCCTAAAGAGACAAGGTGGCCAAATCTTAAATTTGAGCTCCAAGAGAATAGCAACAACACCAGTTGCAAAATAGTTATGTTTCATTTGTTGTAGAAAACACAAAACTTAGTGAACAGAACTTCATGGCCAGGTATTTCCTGCAACTAAGCCTGCCAATGAGTATTTCTTTGCCCCCAGTTTATAAACCAATATATAAAATCACAAAGACTTTAATTTTCCGGGAAGCTCTTCTGTAGGGCTCTAGAACTCATATCTGGAGGTCCACATCCAAATGGGTTTGGGCCACATGAACTGTGTGGCTTCCAAAGGTCAACGGATTACTTTTCCATTCTTGGGACCGCCATCTTGTAACATGGTGGCAGCAAGAGAATTGAGATCCACTGGAAGTCCAAACATGCTGTGTATGAGTGGCATGGAAAGTGATCTGGAATGTTCCCTGAGGAACACCTGGCAGAGAGCATGTCTTTACCCAAACAGTAATTTTAAAATACCCTTTGCACCCCTGTTGTGTGTCTCTTCATGACTTCATCACTCTTCTGTAGCGAGTGGTTTGGGACTGGATTCTCTCATGTGACAGTCTGGAAAGACACAGGTGTGGAGCGGTTAAGTCGGGTTCACGGCAAAGAGCTGGACCGAAGGGCTGTGAGCTGGTCCCCTGGCATCGCCTGACCCTGCTGTAATTCTCTCTCAGTTTCTGGGAGATACGCCAGAATGTTTCCTCTCTTCTGATTTTCCATTTTTTGCTTAAGCTCATTGAAAGTGTGTTTCAGATTCTTGCATTTATGAGATGTATGAGGCCTCCGAGTTAAACAATTATAAGAAGGCATCTTCTTACCACAATGAGGAAAGGAAAGGAATTTCCTTCTCAGGAACTTGGCTGGTAACACCAACAGCCCAGCCTCAATCATCAAAGAAGTTCATCAAAACTCCAGTTCTGCTTTGAAGAAGTTCCCAACTCAAACCAAAAAATGGGGGGAGTAGGAGATCAGCCATGGCCCAGTTTGGTTGGTAAATGATCGATTTCTGGTACTTAGTGAGCCCACCAAATGCCACCACAGGCCAAGGTACCACGGATAACCAGTTTCTCAGCAGAATTCTGATTATCGAAGCAAAGTGGGGGAAGAAAGAGGTCAGGACCATCTGGGAAGATAGCTGCTTGTTGTAAGGACGGCCAACAGAGCGACAGATCATAATCAGGAAATATGTTGAAAATGAAACCACAATGTGTATTAAGGACCAGAATCCTAGGTGTGAGTTAGAGCCCTCTCTTCAGGCAAGGCACTGTGGGTCAGATGGACTAATAAATTTGGAAAGGTAAGGGAGTTCACCAAATCAGAAACAAACATGAGTTTAAAGCCCCAATTTTATGGCTCTAGACTTAGGGGTAATCTCTTCAAGTTTGGAAGAGGTTGTTTGGGGACAGTTAAAATGAGGCCCTACTTTTTATGTAATAAACTCACAGAACTCATAGCTTCCAAACTGGTACCCTCCAAAATAAAGAGAAAATAATGGAAAAACAATGCATATGTGATTATAACTGCCCCTTCCAGGGGTGCCTGGCTGGTTCAGTGGGTAGAGCATGTGACTCTTGATCTCAAGGTTGTAAGTTCGAGCCCCATATTAGGCATTGAGGTTACTTTAAAAAAATTAAAATCTTAAAAATAAATAACTGTGGGCACCTGGGTGGCTCAGTGGGTTAAGCCTCTGCCTTTGGCTCAGATCATGATCTCAGGGTCCTGGGGTCGAGCCCCACTTCGGGCTATCCGCTCAGCAGGGAGCCTGCTTCCCCCTCTCTCTCTGTCTACTTGTGATCTCTCTCTCTGTCAAATAAATAAATAAAAATCTTTAAAAGTAAGTAAATAAGTAACTGCCCCTTCCAATATATAGACAGACACATACATGTTTGTACCACACCATTGGTTTAGTCCAGAATAACATTACTTGCTCCCATTAAAGTAAATTAATTAATTAATTAATTTTTAAAAAACAAGGTTTTTTGTTTTGTTTTGTTTTGTTTTAAGATTTTACTTATTTTTGAGAGAGAGAGAATGAGCACAGAGGGGGAGAGGGAGAATTAGACTCTCCACTGAGCAGGGAGCCCCAGTCAGGGCTCCATCACAGGACCCTGAGATCATGACCTAGGCCAAAGGCATGATTTGACTTCACTGACTGAGCCCCCCCAGGCGCCCCTGAATATGAATTATATAAGAAGAGGGCCTCGGGTCCCTTGTGCCTTATTCTATCTGGTACATCTTTGGTGCTTAATACCTAAAAGCTGATGGAAGGACGCCTGCCTGGTTCAGTCAATAGAACATGTAATTCTTGATATCAGTGTCAGGATGCAAGCCCCACATTGGACGTAGAGCCTGCTTTAAAAACAAACAAACAAATAAATAAAAGCTGTGGACCTCCTGAGCAAACGAACAAGGTGAGTTAGTTCCCAACAGAGCTTGAGAGCCGGGCTCCCTGCTGACTCATGCATTTGAGGCTGGGGGAACTACTCCTTTCCTCGGAGCTCCCCTCTGCCATGTCTTCCTCTTTAGGAAGGTGATCTCTGCTTTAACTTCCTACTTCTAGGAATCAATGGGAGAACCAGACAAGCAAAGTGCTCTGAAAACCCTTCAACATGAGAAGGTCTGTCTGTGGTTCCTCAGTTACTGCCATTCCAGCTATGGCTTGGAGTCTGGAGTATCTACCTTTCTTATCTGTGTCTGAGTCAGGATGGCAAAGCAAGTCTCGTCTTGCTAAAGAATCAAGGAGTGATAGGCTAGGGATGAAAGCGTAACAGAAACTTGGACTGATCGCGGGCTCAAACCAGTACATCTCCTTTCCATCCCAGAACTGGGAACTGAAACTCTTCCATAGGAAATTTTTTCTTCTCCCTCCCTCCTATGCAAACAGCCCGGTCTGTCCTGATTCCTTTTTTAATACACTAATAGTCATAGCAATATTCACCAGACTCTAAATAGAATGTACCAGGCCCCTGAAGCCCCATTTGTGCCCCCCTTCCAAATTAAATTATTCATACTTATTCCCAGCCCTTCCTCATCCTCGTCCTAATGCGTGTATAATTTTTACTTAACTCTCTCTTGATGCAGCTCGGCGTCTGCCTCTTTTCCTTACTCGACAGTGTTTGGTATTTTCTATCAGGACACAGTTAACAGCCCATAAAGGTCTCCGCTTAAGTAAGAAGTCCCTTTCTCTGACCCATCACCCAGACACATGCAACACCAGACTGTGTGTCTTATATCAAAATTTATTGAAGTGGTAGATTTCTTATAAGGACAGAAACACAAGCAAACGAACCAGGAGGAACCGTCTCCCTCTAGCCACTGGGCAGCATTTCCCTTTTAATGATAAAACCAAACGGAAGTGGGGAGCAGCGGTCTTCTCTGAAGCCTCTAACCGCTCAGACTTCCAATTAGTGTCAACAGGAGAGGAACGGATTAGCCGCAAGTTGCTGCCCAGATGTTGTTCCTTTCTCTAAGTGAGACTGTTCCGCTCAGTGCACCCTGACTAATCCCTCTCTTACGCTACCGGAAACTCCAATATTAACCAAAGCTTGCGCCTCTCCCTACCCACTGCTTTTCTGCTAAAGCTTGGCCGAAAGATGTGTTGGTCCCATGGAATGTGGGTGACCTACTGGCTTGTTGAATGATTCCTGGCCTCCCCCGAGGGGCCATAACGCCCTTCCAACCACTTAAGCTTTCCTTATCCCAGCTAGAGCCCACCAACAGACTGGGAATCCGCCCCAGGAGCTGAGAACCACCTCAGGCAGGTGGGGGAAAGGCCAGTGAATCACAGGTGCTCGTGGGCGTCTCCCTGCCTCCAGCTCCGCTCTGCACAAGTGTGGACAGTTCTGCTGTCTTCGGTTCTGTGAGTGTCAGAGAGGTTGGGAAGAAGTTACAGGAGCTTTACTCTCTGTTCCCCCCCAAGAGGCCTCTGGGGACGCTCCGCGACCAGGCAGCCCACTCTGCCACACCCCTTCTCTAAATCCGATTCTCTGAATCTGGAAGTCCCAGGAAACCACGGGCCCCATCTCACGATGGTCTTTGTGCACCCAGCCAGACTCTATTCCCAGAGACCTTGGTTCTTGGTGACAGTCTCCCTTCTTGGCTTGGTGACTTAGCGAGAAGCTGGGGGCAGATAAGACGGGTTCCACGGCTCACCGATGTGGGCCACTAAATTGTCTGGCACGCTCCTGGTGGTGCTCAGATCGGCAGTGAGCTCCATGCTTGTGCTCTGGATATTATCTGCTTCTTGGGGCGCCTTTTTCCGCAGGTAGCGGTTGATCAGGGTGGAGAAGAAGTTGGGGAAAGACGGGCTGGAGAAGTAGTACACCAAAGGGTCCAGCATGCTGTTCATGTAGGTGAAGCTCAGGGTGAGGAAAAACGCCAGGTCCACTGAGCGATAGATGTCACAGTTCCTTGTACCCGTGGTGTGCAAGAGCCAGAAGATGCGGATGCGCACGGCCACGCTGGGCAGGAAACAGATGATGAAGACGATGGCCACCACCATGATGAAGTTGATGGCCCTCTTGATCTTGGCGTGTCTGTCCATCTGCCGCTGGCGCAGACTCCAGATGATTCTGACTGAGCAGAACAGGATGATGGCCAGGGGCAGGACAAACTCCAGGAGGAACATGGCATCGTGCCACCGGAAGGTATGGCAGATGCTGAAGCTGCTGCACAGATTGGCATCTCGGTTCCTGATCAGCATCTTCTTGTACAGGAGGTGACCCGTCAGCCCGATGGTGACACCCCACAAGAGGCAGGAGATGATGGCCGCCGTCCGATTTGAGATCTTGTTGAGAGCGTGGTGAGGGTGAACCACCCGGAAGTACCTGTCCACGGCCACCACCGTGAGGAAGATGATGCTGCCTTGGCGGTTCATGGCCAGCATGAACAGCATTAGCCTGCAAGCGACGTCCCCGAACCTCCAGTCCCATTTCCGCACATAGTTGTCCGTCAGGAATGGCAGACAGATGATCAAGAGAAAGTCAGCCACGGCCAAGTTGAACAGGAAAATCCGGCTGGATTTCCAGGACTTGAGGTGAAAGCAGAAAATCCACAGCGCAAGGCCATTGCCCAGGAGTCCGAACACAAACTCCAGCCCCAGCACCGGTGGCAGCACGTTGGCGATGAAGTCATCCCGGAACACGCAGCAGTTCTTCTTGTTTATTTCCAGAAAATGATCCTGCTGCTGGGGCAGGTTCATGAGTGGAATGAGTCGGTCCTAGCGAGTGCTTCAGGAAAGAGGTATGTGTCTGAGTGGCGAACGCCGAGGTTCAGCTCCCGCCTTTATGTCACGTCGGGGTGATGAAATTGGTGACTGACTGCTTACCAGGAAACTACGAAATCCCTTAGAAGAAAAAAAAAAAAAAGAAGCCAGCAAGGCTCTTATGCAATCTGCTGTTTGCATAAACAAGTAATAAAAATCCCCTGGGGAAGACAGGAACCCACAAAGGTTCCTAAATGTAAAGGATAAGTTTCGGCAAGCCGACTGTCATTTGTGAATTACGGCGATGCAGACGGCTTCGCTCCGGAAGGCTGGGTGCTGGCATCCCGAGCACTTAGCATGTGAGAATTAATTCACTGTTGGGTGGCTGGCTTATAACATAAACAAAACAGCAGAAGCAATAATAACGTCCTGTGCTAAACACCATGGTTTTCTAGAAACGTTAAGAACAACTGTGAAGTATTACATGCATATAACTTAAGAAACAGTAGGAGGTACATGATTTCTTCCAAAACACCAAGAAGACATTTTATGAGGACAGACGGGTCGCATTTGAGGCTTCCCTGCCATAGTCTCTGTAGAGACCCGGATTGCTTTTCTACACCAGAACTTTGCAGCTAAGCTGTAGTTAGGAGAAAGGAGAAGAGAATAGCATACAATTTCATAAGATGTTTGAAAACTTGAACCCAGTTTGGATTGCCAGCGGTATGTTACAATAAACTGGGGTTTTCGTTTGTTGGTGTCAGACTTTGATAGGCTTCTGTGCTCAAGTAAGCAATTTATTTTGAAGTATGCGATCTTTATTTTTTTAAATATTTATCTATTTATTTCAGAGAGAGACAGAGAGCACGCACAAGTGGAAGGGGCAGAGGCAGAAAGAGAGAGAGAATCTCAAGCAAATTCTGTACTAAGCACAGAGCCCAAAGTGGGGCCCGATCTCATGACCCTGAGGTCTCAGCCCAAGCTGAAACCAAGAGTCAGACGCCCAACTGACTGCACCTCCCAGGTACCCCTGAAGTATGTGATTTCTTAAAAATCAATATGCATTGGGGCACCTGGGTGGCTCAGTGGGTTAAAGCCTCTGCCTTGGGGTCAGGTCATGATCTCAGGGTCGTGGGATCGAGCCCCGCATCAGGCCCTCTGCTCAGCGGGGAGCCTGCTTCCTCCTCTTTCCCTGCCTGCCTCTCTGCCTACTTGTGATCTCTGTCTATCAAATAAATAAATAAAATATTTTAAAAAGTCAATACGCATTATTTTTCTAGAGTTTTAGATTCATGGCAAAATTGAGCAGAAAGTAGAGTTTCTGTAGCCGTCTGTTCCCCGCCCCCCGCCTCACCCCACTAAGTGTATATACACGATATTTTAAAATCCTCTATTTTCAGAAAATTAAACTTAGAGGGATGGGAGCTTTGGGGACTTTGAACTCTGCCTCACGGCCGATCACCATGTCACACATCATTTCTTTGCTTTTTAGTATAATTGGGTGTAACCCTATAGAACATTTCTACTTTTAGTATTTTGGCTATGATCCTTGCTGAGCAAGAGGTTCTAAAATGTGTTGCTTCCACTTTGAGTTAAAAATAGGAAATTTAGGGCGCCTGGGTGGCTCAGTGGGTTAAGCCACTGCCTTCGGCTCAGGTCATGATCTCAGGGTCCTGGGATCGAGCCCCACATCAGGCTCTCTGCTCAGCAGGGAGCCTGCTTCCCTCTCACTCTCTCTGCCTGCCTCTCTGCCTACTTGTGATCTCTGTCTGTCAAATAAATAAATAAAATCTTTAAAAAAAAAAATAGGAAATTTAGGGCACCTGCCTGGCTTAGCCGTTTAAGCGTCTGCCTCGGGCTCACATTGTAATCCCGGGGTCCTGGGATTGAGCCCCGAGTCAGGCTCCCTGCTCAGTGGGGGGCCTGCTTCTCCCTCTCCCTCTGCTGCTGCTCCACCTGCTTGTGCGCTCTCGCTCGCTCTCTCTCTCTCTCTGCCAAATAGGTAAATAAAATCTTTTAAAAAAAGAGTATGATATACAGGAATTAATTTAACCAAGGAGGTGAGACACCTGTACACTGAAAACCATAAGATATTGATGAAAGACATTGAAGAAGACCAAAAGAAATGGAAAGATACATTCCATGCTAATGGCTTGGAGGAACAAATATTATTAAAATGTCTATACTACCCAAAGAAACCTACAGCTTCAATGTGATGTCTATCAAAATTGCAATAGCATTTTCTATAGAAATAGAGCAATAATTTGTTTTGTATAAATAGAACAAACAAAAATTCTAGTAACATTTTTTGTAGAATAGAACAAATAATTCAACAGAAATAAAATAATTTTGTGTACAGGACCACAAAAGACCCCGAGTAGCCAAAGCAATCTTGGAAAAGAAGAACAAAGCTGAAGTTGTCACGCTCCTGATTTCAAACTGTATCCCAAAGCTATAGTAATCAAAATAGTATGGTGCTGGCATAAAAACAGACACATAGATCAATGGAATAGAACAGAGAGCCCAGAAATAAGCCCATGCAAATACGGTCAATTAATTTATGACAAGGGAACCAAGATATATACTGGGGAAGGGACAACCTCTTCAAATAGATGATGTTGGGAAAACTGGGCAGCCACATGCAAAAGAATGAAACTGGGCCACTGTCTTACATTATACACGAAAATTAACTTTTTTCCCTCCCTCCTTCCTTCTGTACACAAAAATTAACTTTAAAAAGGGGCACCTGGGTGGGTCAGTTGGTTAGGTGTTCGACTCTTGGTTTCTGTGCAGGTCATGATCTTATGGGCTGTGGGATTCAGCCCTGCATCAGGGTCCCTGCTGAGAGGGGAGTCTGCTTGAATTCTCTCCTTGTGCTCCTCCCCTCACTCACATGTACATGCATGTGCAGGCAAGCACTCTCTCTCTTTAAAATAAATAAATCTTTAAAAAATTTTAACTTAAAATAGATTAAAGACTTGAACGTGTAACCTGAAACCATGAAACTCCTAGAAGAATACATAGGCATTAAGCTCCTTGACATTGACCTTGGTAATGATTTTTTGGATTTGACACCAAAGGCAAAGACAAAAAAGAACAAGTGCGACTACGTCAAACTAAGAAGCTTCTGCACATCAATGGAAACCATTAGTAAAAAGAAAAAGCAACGCACTGAATGGGAGAAAATATTTGCACATTATATACCTAACAAGGGGTTAATATCCAAAATATATAAAGAAATCATAGAAGTTAATAGCAAAATAGTTTGATTAAAAATGGACAGAGAATCTGAATAGACATTTTTCTAAATAAAACGTGTGGGTGACAAACAGGTACATGAAAAATGCTCAACCTCACTAATCATCAGGGAACTGTAAATCCATACCAGGATGAAATACCACCTCACATCTGTTAGAATGGCTATTATCCAGAAGACAAGAGATAAAAGGTGGTGGCAAGGATGTGGAGAAAAGAGAACACTCTTGCACTGTTGGTGGGAATGGAAATTTGTGCAGCCGCTATGTGAAACAGTATGGAGGTTTCTCAAAAAACTAAAAAAAGAAATACCATACCATCCAGCAATCCCACTTTTGGGTGTTTATCTGAAGAAAACGAAAACACTAACTTGGAAAGATATCTGCATGCCTATGTTCCTTGCAACATTATTTTTCTTTAAGATTTTATTTATTTGACAGAGAGAGAGATCACAAGCAGGCAGAGAGGCAGGCAGAAGTGGGGTGGGTAGCAGGCTCCCTGCTGAGCAGAGAGCCCGATGTGGGGCTCGATCCCAGGACTCTGAGATCATGACCTGAGCTGAAGGCAGAGGCTTAACACACTGAACCACTCAGGCACCCCATCCTTGCAGCATTATTCACAATAGCTAAGATATGGAAAAAACCTAAGTGTCCATAGGCAGATGAACGTATAAAAAAAGGTATATATATACATATATATGGAATATTATTGAATTATAAAAAAGAATGAAATTATTGAACCATAAAAAAGAATGCAATCTCATCATTGGTGACAACATAGATGGACTATGAGAGTATTATGCTAAGGGAAATAAGTCAGACAGAAAAGGGTAAATGCCCGATGATCTCTCTTATATATGGAATCATAAGAAAAAGCTCATAGATACAGAGAACAGATTGGTGGTTGCTAGAGGCAGAGGGTAGTGGGTGGGCAAAACGGGCAAAGGGAGTCCAAAGGTACAAACCTCCAGTTATAAAATAAATAAGTCCTGGGCACGTAATGTACACCATGGTGACTATAGCTAATAATACTGTATTGCATATTTGAAAGTTGCAAAGAGAGTAAATCTTAAACGTCTCAGCACAAGAAAAAAAATTCTGTAACCATGTACAATGACAGAGTGAACTAGATTCATTACGTTGATCATTTTGCATTACACACAAATATCAAAACTTTATGTTGTACCAGAAACCAATATAATGTTGTATGTCAATTATTCCTCAATTAAAAAAAAAAAGGTTAAGGTGATATTGACACATAGTTATAGAGAGCTTCCAGGAGTACAGACCCCATGCATAAATGCCTTATTTTATTTTAAAGACTTTATTTATTTGCCGGAGAGAGAGCACAAGCAGGGGGAGCGGCAAGCAGGGGGAGAAGAGCAGGGAGCCCAACACGGGGCTCGATCCCAGGACCCTGAGATCATGATCTGAGCCAAAGGCAGATGGTTCAGAACCAACAGAGCCACCCAGGCATTCTGTGTGCAAATGCTTTAAATACACAATCGTGTTTTACCCTGACTGCAACACACAAAGTAGGGCTCATTACTGATTCTGCTTTTAAGATTCGGGAAGCGAGGGGTGCCTGGGTGGCTCAGTGGGTTAAATCCTCTGCCTTGGGCTCGGGTCATGATCCCAGAGTCCTGGGATCGAGCCCCACGTCAGGCTCTCTGCTCGGCAGGGAGCCTGCTTCCTCCTCTCTCTCTGCCTGCCTCTCTGCCTACTTGTGATCTCTGTCTGTCAAATAAATAAATAAAATCTTAAAAAAAAAAAAAAAGATTCGGGAAGCGAAGCTCAGAAAGGTTGGTGAGATTTAGGGCCACCCTAGCCAATAAGAGCGAGCTTTGGGTTTGAATCTGACCCAGGTTTCAAAGCCGGGGTCCCTAA